ATAACGGTGGTTTATAATTTTGCACTATAATATTAAGTAATTGTTAAAAAAATACAACACGATTAATTTAGTAATAGTAATATTTAATAGTTTCTTTTTATAAAAACCTGTGTATGGAGTTCTTATATAAGTTAAAGTTTTTTCTTCTTGCGGCAAACCGTAAACTGTAGTAGGATAATTTATACTTGAATCTAAAAATAAATAAATAAAATATGAAATTAAAGTATCCAACAGTATATTGAAAAATTTAATTTTTATATTATTACTGTGAAGCATATCCCCTTGTCCCATGCTTGCTTTGCCATAATTTGTACTCATTAACATTGAATTATTCATAACGTTGACTAAAGCAGGCTGCAATCGTTTGATTACATTTAATATCAATTCGCATCTTTTAATAACTCGCAACTGTTGCGGTTCGGTAGCATTTTCTACAAGAAGCTTCTTCGCGCTCGCATCCGTCTCAAATATGGCTAAAAATATATAATATTGTTATTATGATTTACGAACAATATCATAAATACATATATGTTATCAATGTATATCACCTGCTTTTAATTCTCGAATCATCATTATAGTTTGTCTATCGATATTATCACTTCCAATATCACTTACGGTAACAGTTAATTGACTAGACAATGAAACTGCTCTTAAAACAATACTTTGTACTTGTTGTTGAGTTACAACTTCTCTATTGTCAAAACAATCAGACATAAGACGTATACGTTCTTGAAGATCGTCTAAAACTACCTACATATAGTAAATAGTACTGATTTATTCTTAGTTATTTGTTGAATATATTTAGATATGCAGTTAAATTACCTGGCAATAAGCAGCAGAATCAATAATCAAATTAACTGTATTATGTAATTTATTCATCTCTAATTGCCATTGAGATGTTAAAAGTTTAACGCTAGCACGAAATTCTTTATTATCCGGATGAAGGTAGAATGCAGTGATAGCAGCGATCAATTCACTTTCTAACAATTCAATACTTGCTAAGCAATTTCGAATTTTGTTGATACCTAGAATGAATTAATTATATTAATACATATGTTTATATATATGTGCTTGTTATAAGCATAATTTTAATAGCAGAATCATAACTGTGCAGTGTGACAAAAGCAGAAGAACACACATGTATGTATAAATATATTATATATGAACAAATAAGCAAATAGAAGTTACATCTAAAATTAATTTGATACGAATTCTTATTTCTGTCACATTGCATAATATATTTTCTATTGATTTTACGAACGCTCAACATCTCTGCAACACGCGTTAGCAAATATTCCAATTAGCATAGCTTTATCCGTAAGTTGATCAAAATCTTCAATTGCGTTATGTAAATCGTTTTTAGATCTTTTCTTAGCGGTTAATGTACTTCCGCACGTCATGACAAGTTTTCTCAAAGCATTAAAAGGATCGCTAAATACTTCCATGACAAGAATTAATACTGAAATATTGACTTTGCGTTCTAAACGATATAATGCATCATTCAACGTATTCATGAAGAGATTGTTGACGCTAGGATCGAAAGTTTCAGAGCATAATTGGGATTTTAAATTTTCGTATTCTCCCATAATCGATCGACAAGCTGCTGATATTGCTTCAAAATTTTCCGGTTGACACATTTGTGCAATTGACATTGCGTGAGAAAATATATCTTCTATACCCCACCACAATTCGGTACATTCTAGTATCTGTTGGTCTTGCGTTTTTGTTGACATTTCAACTATAATGTCGAGTACCAAATCCATTCTAAACAATAATGAAATTTATTTTATAACTATTTAATATAAAAGTATAGTTTTAATTCAATATAATTTAATTTTGCATAGAGAGAGAGAATACCTATAAACAAAATGATTTTCTTTTTCTATAGTTTCATCTTCTGGAGATGGATTTGGCGCTTCCAGAACTTCAAGTATTAATTTGAAACAAAGACTTATTCTTTCGCATATATATTTCTTGCAATTCTGTATAATAATTATTAAATTATTTTATATTTTTCTTTTTCTTTTACTTATCCTAAAGCAGATATATTTGGTCATTAAGTATAAAATGTCAAGTTTCAAACAAACTAATCGGACGTTTCATACTTAATAACATAATAATTTTAAATAACAAATTAAAATAGGTAGCAATTCAAAAATATATCTACAGCAAATTTGATAGATCACATTACATAAATTGACGCATTTAAATGATGTTGCTCCTGAACCAACTGTGCCAACATACTGAACGTTGTATGAATCTGGAATGCATATAATGCTATTCTTTCCGATAGAAAATTTGAAATTAAGCTTTTTCTATATTTTTGTAACGGACCAAGTACTTCAAGTATAGAAGTACCAAGTTCCTATAACGAATACAAATATATTTATATGCATTGTGTTTTTATCCCTTATGTTATACAAATATTATAAAAAATAATAAGAGGGAAAACCTTTATGTTTTGAAAATCTTCAATTTCGTTTTCAGTACCCATTTCCTTAACATAATCGAAACAATCTTGAAGTCTCTGTTTTAATGGCAAACATTCAAGATTTTCAAGTGCTTTTAAAGCCATTATAAACTTTTCAAGTAGCGTTCCTATTGCATCTTTGCTCATATGACTGTTAATGTTTTCTACCTAAAAAATATATTGCTTCAACATTAATACCAAATTTCTATTACAGTAATAACAAAATAAACATACCCATTCATTAGTAACTATTTCATTGGACAAACAGAACTCTTCAATAGTATTGGCAATTTTAGTTTTCATTTCTTGATAATCGGTGATATCATCCTTGGATAAGTTCTCAAATTTTTCACCTAGAACACGTAACTGATCACAAAAAACTGATTTTATATTTAGAACATCGGATTGTCCAGCCTCGCTGTCTCCTATTGAATGCTTCAAATTATTTATCTGAAAGATTTATTGCAAACGTAGTTTTTAATATCTGTAACACTTTATAAATGTAATCTACAAAAATTAAATATATTAACAAAAAAATAAGTATTATATAATTAAATAACATAATTGGTAATTTTACTTGTATTTCAATTGGATCCAAGATCTTTTGCATACGTTTGGTTTTTAAAGACATATTGATCAATTACTTTTTCATCAATTTATTTCACAATACTTCATCTTAGAATTCAAACGTTGAAACGGTAATAGTAAACAAAGTGAAGTTAGCCACTAATTGTAACTACATTAATCAAAAATATACATATGCTTTCATATATGATCGTAGTAATTTTGCATGTATTTATATATATATATGTTTTATAATACAAAATATTATAATTTAATAATTTATTAAAACTTATAACTTTCTCTTCACAAATTTAACTCAAATTAATAAAAAAATGTCTAACCGATCTTAAATTTATTTAGTAATCAAATATATGTACTCTATTTCTTTCGTAATACATTTTCTATGTATGACGCCATCTAGCGAAAAAATATAATAAATGGTGATAATATTTTGGGGGTTAAGAGTTAAGGTACATATAAAAAATTAATTACTAGAAGAAAGAAAATATATTACATATTTATACAAAATATTATTTTGAAATAAAAAATAATCACACATATAAATATTAGATTAAAGCTAGGTAACGATATATCATGCAAAATAAAATCAATATAATATTTTTCAATGTAATATATATTTTATATTAGATACTTGTATTTACATAATAGATCTAAGATACTATTACTCGAATTTGTTGTACTTCTCATTCATCAGGTATATTCTCCAGTCCCATTTTCTAAAGTACAATGAAATAAATATATGCATATTAATATCTTTAATCTTTTTTATGTGTTTTTCTGTAAATGTAATAAATGTTGAAATAAGTTCTTACCCCTGCGGTCATTGGATGATCACATAAACGTGAATCTCTTACATACATAAGTAAATCCCAGTTTTCTGTTAATAACCTACGTTTTGGCTAAAAGAATGAAATAGATAGTAGTAAACTATAATATAATGAACATGAAATAAATAAATGGAACTCCTATTGCATCTATTAAAAGGATTTAAAAGAAATATTGATTGGTTGTGGTACATGTTAAATAACCTAATACTATTATTAAAAATATATATTATGAGAAACGTCTACTCACAGTGTCATATAATTTTAAACACAAATAATGGGCAGCGTGATGTGGTAATCCCAAGCCAGCCATTATTATTATCATCGTCGGTAATACTTCATACCACATTTTGATCTAAATATCAATAATTCTCTGTGTTTAATCCGATAAAACAAAAATATCTCAATACATTTCTTAAACGTAATCCTTCTAGACTTTTAATAGTCCTACAAAATACCACATTAATAAACTCAAATATAAAAAGTACAACCTGTCTGTTAACAATGCTACCAACTGACATTTGCTAATGGCGGCAATATTCAAAATGATCGCACACATCTGGAGTACCTAGGATATTTTTCTCTTCTTAAAATTATTTCTACATAAAATATATTAAAACTTTGAAATTAATATTCTTATATACGTTAAATATATTCTTTATCATCTTCATTTTAATAAAAGAAATGTTCATTTTATTTTTCATATGTTTGTATGTAAATACGCCATATAAAATTATGATTAATTGTTTATTCATAATATTCTTTGCATCATTCTTTATCTTACCTTTGACTATAAATAACAAAAAACCAAAATAAAAAAAAGTACAGAAAGCTATTGTTACAAAAAACGCATAACAATTAATTGCAACTTTTTATTCATATTTTTTAAACAAAAACACAACAAAATTTGAAGTACACTTAACTCCCTTACATTTTTATTTTAAATTCAACTAAAATATAATTGTACAGTAACGTGACGTTTTTGTATTTATTTATTTTTAGTTTTTTTTTTTTGCTGTAAGACGTTAATATATTAATGTCTACCACGTATTCCTCGTACGAATGTGTGTATGCACGTTATTTGTAACCACGAAGGGAATAAATGAGAGTTGTTGTTGTTGCTGTTTATTATTTTTTTTTTTCTTTTTTTAATTATTTTTCACTTTTTAATATATATATATCATCAATGTTATATCATGCATGCCCAGAGATAAAATCATTGTCGCCAAGTGTTTTTTTTATTTAAATTTTTTTTTTGCGACTTCGAGCGTAATAATAAGTCTTAAGAGCTCCCTTAATAACAATATTGTTTATTGTTGATATTATGAAGGAGTTGTTTTGCTTTGAACTGGTTACACAAATGGCCGCCACAGAATAAGGCACACAATTAATGCAACGCGCATTTAATATAGCGGTATTATTCGCTCCTATCATTAATATACTTTAAAGTGAATGAATTACTATTAACTTTATGGATTTATCCTGGAAATAATCGATGCTTTTCATGTACCTTGGAAAAATTAGGATATTGCAGGAACGACTGTCTTCTCTATATATCGCTGTTGCTCCGAGAGATTAATGATTAGATTATTATTATTTTATTATTATATTAATATTAATATTAGTTATTATTATTATTAATTATTAATTATTATTTTTATTTATTATTATACCTGACGTCAATATTATGTGTGTGTGTGTGTTTGTTTATTTGTTTGGATGAATAGCGCTTTTAAATATATACATTTTTCTTTGAGGTATGTTTGTATATTATGATATGAGATACATACGATATTAGTGAACCATACGTTTCCTTTTTCTTTTTTCTTTCTCTTTTTCTTTCAATCGAGATATACATTTTTTACCAACCTGAGGTATATTATCCTTTTTTTCCCTGCTATATGAAACTAATATGAATTATGACATAACAACAGCTTCTGTTATATATTTTTTTTTTCTTCTTCTGCTTCTTCTTCTTCTTGCATGTGTAAGTAAGTACACGTATGCGTATACAAGCAAAGTGTGCAACTATTATATCAATTGTATGTACGTATTTATGTATTTATGTATGTATGCATCTATTTCAACGTAACTTTTATATTCTTTTCTATTGTTTTAGAATATTTTCAAATCAATGTAACTTTGCTCATTGTCACATATGAGCATTAACTTATGTACATTATATGTTAATTATTTTTTCTTATTTGTTCGTATCTTACTTTTTTAATCTTTGTTTGTTTCTTTTCTTTTCAACAGCTAGGATATAACTACGTAATCTACTGCATTTTTTGTTTTTCGTCTAGATTATCATATATACCTAGCCAAACATAATGCCATAATCATGTCAATATCCATACGTTATACTACCCAAAGTATATAAGAAGTAATTGTTTCCGAGTTCTTCTTACTCTATTTTTTCTCTTGTTATTTTTTTTTTTAATCTTCATTTAATAATAATAATAATATAAGCCCACGGCTTAGGAAATTGAATGAAGCGATTAATTAATATAGCGAGTTCCCTAATATAAGCTATAGTATCTTCAATTACGTTTTTTATCTTCGAACAACAAATTCAAGGTATTCCCTTAAGCGAAGGTAGTTTTTTTAACGTGGTACACGAACTTGATTATTCAATTATTATGTAAAATTCGGTGGATTAAACGGAGCTTGTAAAAAATAGGTTTTTTTAGTCATTATCAGACATGGTATAATAATAATAATTCGTATCGTGCTTAATACATACTTTTTATATTTTTTCTTTTTAATAAGAACAAGAAAAATAATCAACGTGTCGTCGCTTGTGTTTCCATTATTTTTCCATTCCCTTTCTTTTCTTTATTTTTTTCTTCCTTTCTTTTTTTAATTCTTCGTTTTATTCTCTTAATGATTTCTATCCGTTAAATAAAGATAACGGGATGATAGATATTCGATTAATCTTGTTTCTTGGCAAGATCATCAAACATGCATGACTTGCATGCTCGTCATCATAGAAATAGAAATATGTGCGCCAAGTAGTTTCTACCCATCGTGATAATCATTAATTCGTAGAAACAATAACGTTAATGCTTTTTCTTCTTTTTCTTTTCTTTGATACAATGCGGGTAATAATGTTCGATTGAAGAGTATTTGTGAAATATGACGAGATGATAAAAATATAATTATTTACAAAAAAAAAGAACTAAAACAGAAAAGAAAGAACAGTCTTCTTTTTTTTTTTTTTTTTTATATGTTTCGTTCCCCGTTTGTCCCGCGATTCGTTCGAAATATTTCTTGAAGAATTATGATTTTTGTTGTACGATAAAAATATATTAACGCATACTTCATATTATAATATAATGAATAAATTTCGATCTTTCACTTTCGAGGCAATGGTGTAAACATATACGTTGATATATATATATAATGTTTGTGGAAAAAGTACAGTGTCATTAGGAGTACAATCGAAATGTGCAGCCTTAGAACAATCATCGCGTTCTTTGTCTTTTTTCTCCAAGACATTATATTTATAATGAAGTTATATAACTGTTGGTTTGTCAGTTATTTAATATTATTATTGAATGCTACAACAAACCGCTCTGCATGGTATAGGTCCTTCGCCCTCTTGACGATTTAATGTTTTACGTGATTGAAAAATTGAATCAAGAGTTATGGATTGTGATTTATCCATGTAGCAACTTTCATATACCTCATAAGCTTCATCGATGGGTATTTTAAGTTTTCCCACTATACTTGTGTCTTTTTCATTTGGCATTATTATTGGAATTTCTTCTCCTTGATAACCTTTGATCAATTCAACAGGACTATTTGGCACCATTTTGGATTTATTAAATGGCTTAAGATCGAGCGCATTTATTTTACTTTCTAATGGCTCCTCTTCAATACTCGTAGCGCTTTCACGTGCGAATCTGTAATACTTCTGTACATGCTCTATGATAGCTTCCTCGGCTTGAAAATTATCTTCCTCAGCGGCTTCTCCTTCATAGGATACACCTTGACTTAGTAACATTTTCTTTGGAGTTCTTATTGGCTCAATAGTTTCTGCTTCCCAACATTCTAATACGTCAGGTTCCTCTATACTAATCAACGAAGCAACTGTACTTTCTACTTCATCATCATCGTCGTCATCATTGCTATTTCTTTTTTTCTTATCCATCATTTCTTTTTCTAGTTTATTATTAGTATCAACTATTGTCTTTTTCACATTAATCTTGTTCGTTTGACTAATACTTTTGGATACATTCTCAACATAATTCACGAACTGTGCGAACGGTGAAATCTGAAGAAATTTCCCATCTATTGAAACAATTATTTCTCCTTTTTCAAATGTTCTAACATTCATAGTATCCTCCTCTGCAATTCCTTCATCCTCCATACCAGCAACGTCATTAATACATCTTATCTTAACGTTCATACTTTCAGCCGGTCTTTTATGAACTTTCTCCATTTTTCTTCCACGTCTGACGTTGTTTCTTTTTGAATTCATCCGAGAGCTGTTAGCAACCCTCATACCCGCAACACTATCCTTCTCAACAAATTCGCAAACCCCCGCAACATTTGTTTTCAGCAGATTCTTTTTTCTTAATTTTCTTGTGAATTCTTCTACTTCTTCTTGTCGTTTCTCCTTTTCCTGTTGTTGTTGTTGTTGTTGTTGATAAGAATAATCGAAGCAAGAAAGTCTAGCTTTGGTGTTAAGAATATTATCATTTTTATTTACAACATGTCTAGCGAATCTATCTCTTGATAATTTCTTAATACCTCGAACATAAGTTGTTGTTTTCCTTTTATTAACTGCTGATAATAAATCATTGTTGCGCTCTTTATCGTTCTCAATGTTGTTATTAATCTTTGCGAATTCGCTGCAGCTAGCCATGCACGACGAGTGATCATCATTGGCTTTGCTATTAAAAGATAGTGCAGGTATGGGGTTGCCTTGCAAGTTTTTTGGCGGCTCTTCATCGAAATCATCCTCGTTTACGTTATCCTCGCTATCGTCCGAAATAATCGCTGATTTTTTAATAAATACGTCAGGTGAGTTAGCTCTTCTTAACCATTCGGTTACGGCTTCGGTAATACGATATTCGGGATGACGCGTTTGGGTCTCGAAACCAGAATCATCGTTCGAATTTTCAGCGACGTCTTCGCTAACAGTCTTATTATCGACATTGTCTCTTGCAGTCTCAAATGCGGATTCGCTCGATACACGATCTTCAACTTCAATATCGTTATTATCTTTTCCAATAATAGATACGGATTCCGAATCGAAGGGTAATGAAAGTGTCGGTGGTTGCTGTGCGTTGTCAACGTTATTATCGATTGTATCAAATGAAATAACTGTTTTGCTCTCACATTCGACTCCAATAGCAGCACCATTACTACTACTATTATTACTATTATTATTATTATTATTATTATTATTATTATTATTATTTGAGTTAGTTGGATCGGGTGTTGATTCTCTTGTTAACTTTGTACCTTTCGAATTGTACTTCTTTTTCGTAGATAATAAAATCGTTGTTTTACCCTTCGTAGTACCCAACGATTCGGATGTTTCTTGCAACTCTTCTTGTCGAGTATTAACATAGTTGGTTTCCATCGTTTCTTCCTCGGGATCCAATTGATTCAACAATCTTGACGACGACGATGATGCTGTTGCCGATGCCGAGGACGTTGTTACTATTTTGGACAGCAAGGTACGATTTTCCAAAGATGGAATAATTTTATTCATTACTTCTGTATCATCGTCAATACCATCTTCTTTTTCTTCGTTCGTAGATAGTTGTCCATTTATTAATATTTCATTATCACGTTCAACGTATAATTTCGATGGAAATGTCTTATTAACGTTGCTATTAGATCGTTCGGATAATTCATTGGCACTGAACGAACTATTATTAGGGACGTCCTTAATATCAGTCCTTAACAACGACGCTTTACTTTCAGTCCTTGCGTCGTTAATTACGTAGTCTGTAATCTCCTCATTCGTTGAGTTGACTTTATTATTATCAGAGAGGTAGTTGATCAGTCTATTCTCTGGATTAGTCAAAGAGTCAACTTGATTGTTAGATGACGTCGATACCGACGACGACGACGATGACAATGATGATGACTCTTTCACGAATGATTTCAAATTCTTATCGTGAATTTCATTCAATGTCGCCACTTCTTCCTTTTCTTTGTTGCTCATATCCTTACAGGAAGTATTATAATATTTTGTTTCGCAAGAAGCATTATTACCGTTCTCATGTATTCCTTCGGTAAACGTACTTGTTCCAAGTAATTGTTCAGTTTTTTCAGAGATATGCTGTTGTTGTAATGATGGTGATGGTGATGGTGATGGCGATGGTGGTAACGCATCGCGTTCGACGACTGGACGAAGTTGAAATTCTTCACACTCTGGATTAAGGGGTCGATTCGTCGTCCTCGTTGATGTTGTCGTCGTTGTTGTCGTTGTCGTTGCTGTGGTTGTTGTTATTGTTGTTGTTGTAACCAGAGCTGGACACGTAGACCAAGAAGATGTCCGAGAAGACGATAAAGCACTTTCTCCATCGGAACTGTAATCCTCTTCATCATCTTCAGGATTAACCTGAAGAAAATGATAATAATATAAGTATATTATATATTTTAATGTTTATATACACATAAAACATATTTGGATATAATCAAATTCCACATTACCAACGCGAGTCTTCTTTGCTTTCTACTTCTTTTCTTCTTTCTTCGTTTGTTGTAAGCAGTCGTCACTCTTGTAACATCTGTTGTTCTGATCATTGGTCCTCCTTGTATGGTTACACCTTTTAATAGAAAAAGAAAATACAATTGTTCTTAGTAAAGTTAAATAATGTGTCTGTAATTAATTATTATTTTTATTATTATTATAATTATTTGAATATTGCAAATAGAAATAATCTAACGTATACAGTATACAGTATACAGAACGGTTCTTTTAGGAAAGGACGATTAAAGAATGAATATAGTGCACCAGTATCCTTTTTTTCTTTATTGTCGTTGTAGCTGTTGTAAAATAAATTGTATAAAACACCTTTTGAGTTTAATTTCTTCTTCGTCCATCAATTGAGAGGAGGACTCGCTTGAGGAAGGTGTGGAATGAACTTGGCTTTTTAACGTTTTCTCGAGAGCTCCTGGCCTCGCATCGACGCCAACGAATATATTTTTACCCAGACTCTATTTTAGTGTTTTAGGAGCGCAATGCGTTTACTTTGCCAAGTCTCGTTACTTGTTCCTTACTGTCTTCTCTTCTACTTCTACTTATTATTATTCTTCTTCTTCTTCTTCTTTTTCAAGGAGGCAACGTATATTTCCGACGTGCTAAATGTCGAAGCAATTTGCTCGCGGCACCGTGACTCGTGATCGTCGGGCATGAGTCAATGGACCTCTAAGATAAGAGAGATGGTTTTCATGTGTGCAACGTGATTGCAATGAGAGAACGGCGTGATCGTAAACGAGAATACGAGAGAGATAATTACATTTATTTATATATATATATTATATTAAACGTAGTGAATGAGATGACACAGGTGGATATACCAGAAAACATCATTTCTGGATACATTTTGATTTTTTTGATTTTTTTTTTTGTACAAATACGAGACATCGAGCGTGTGATAGGAAGCCTTGCTGTTAGATACAATCGCAAATCAATTGAATTCTTTTATTTTTATTTTCTTTTTTAAATCTTTAACGCAGGAATGAGAAATTGCAGAGCACTTTTAAGAAGTCAACATTTTATAGGGATAGGTTTGATCAAAGATTTTCGGATTTAAATGAATAGTTTAAAATAATTGACCTGAAAATGAATGATCTTGGTTGTTAATTAAATCTTAATTAAAGTGATCATTTAATGACTCTTGGTAGATTTGTTTACTAATATAATCAAAACCTTTCCCATTACGATCGTATCTAAGGCATGAGCTATTCCTATTTGCGTATTATTACCTTTTACCTTGAATGGGGTAGAGGCACGGTGGTAATAAAACAGCAATGATGTCGATGGACGGGACAGCAGTCATGTATCTGGGTAAATCCCTTTCCCCTGGCCGCGCATCCAACCGACACTGTTCTCGTTTAACATTAGAAACAGGTACAATCAAATGTACTATGCCCAATCTTGACGCATTACAGGGAAGGAAGTAGCCGATATTTCTCACATTCTCTATATTACATACATTTCTCTTTCTTTCTCTCTTTCTTTCTTTAGTTTTTTCTCCCTTTCTCTGTTTTTTTTTTGTTTCCTTCCCTTCCTTATATTCCTACTATTTATTTTAGCTTTTACAAAAGATAGTCTCGTATATCCATAGTACCGAAAATATCGACTATACGAACGTATGATTTAAAACGATTCTATTTCTTACGATCGTATACATCGAACAAGAAAGAAAAATAAATTTTTTACCCCTAAGTTTTTTATTATAATACTCTCTGAAGTAAAAATATATAATTATTAAATAGAAACTAAATCCGTCATATAAGATTTTCCAAGTTCATAATGTAAGAATATGTAAAGATAGTGGCCGATTGTGCAACGTTACGTAAACGATCATAAAGAGACACGTTACGCGCTTCCTTCCCAACGTGCGCTTTTTTGTTTCTTCTACACACACATATATACATATATATATATATATGTAGAAAGATTCCTTTCTATATATCTTATTCTCTTTCTTTCTCTTTCTCTCTTATCCATAATAAGACTTTTTATTTCGTCCGTTGTTCCGTCCATCCGTCCGTGAACAGAACGAAGATCTAATCGTATACGAAGAGCGAATAAAAAGAAACTAACTATTCTTAGTGATTGAAAATAAGTCATAAAAACAATATCAATAATTTGGATTCGCATAAACATAACAGAGAGATTCAATTGTTAACTAACCATTAACGTTGACCAGTGGTGGACCGAACATGTAGTGACCAGGATACATATATGGTTGTGGTATGGCTGGTATCACATGTGGCATGTGGTGTATAGGTGCTTGCTGCATCACTATTGGTTCAAGATAAGGACCACCACCATTTCCCTCATCGTTGTTTTCTTCTATCATTGGACATTGATCTGCTACACTGTAAAACTCTTCTGTTCGATTATCCTCTTTGACCATTTCTCCTGTCGTCATGTACGTTTCTTCCCCTTGTTCTTGTTGTTGCTCTTGTTGTTGCGGCTGTTGTTGTTCTTCCATCTCTTCTGCAGCACTTCCATTGCAACTTGCACTTTCAGTAACACTTTCGTTCCACATACCATTAGAATTTTCTACCGGTACTAATGCATTCCCATGTTCTTCTATTACCACTGGATGAATTTCTGTACTTTGACCACTCTGTTAAAAATCATTCAACGTTACTGGTTACATTAATACTTCCTTGTTCTTTTTCTCTAAATACGGATAAGTACAATAACACAGAGTAGAGCCAGTTTCACCTGATAATTACTATCATTGGAGTCCATCATACAATAAGATTGACCAGATAGTTTTGGTACGAAAGCTGGATTGATCCACTCAATTGGTCTTAAAGGTACTGAAGCACATGGCAAAGCTGCAAGAATGCTAGGTCCAATTTGAGCAGGAACTGGTGCAGGTCCTACCAACATCACTGGATACTCGTAATAATAACCACTGGCGTGATCATAAAATGTTCCGTAACCAACTTGAGCAGCTGGATCAATTCCTGGAGGATATTCACCAGACGCGCTATCCCTATCCAATAATTGTTGATCCTCTGTTGTTTCGCTACCATCTAAAAGGTCATTACATTACAAATAAAAGAACAACTGTTTTGAGAAAAATAAATTCAACAAGGTGGATGATTTAGAGCAAACGATATGAAAATTAAGAAGAAGAAAGAAAAAAAGAATAAATAAATAAATAAATACGAAAGAGAATCACAATATTGAATAATCAAAAAGTTACCTTTTTCCTATGATAGACAAAGATGACAACAGAATAAGTTAATCTTATATGCTATATACGTAAGATATTAGAATAATAAACACAAAGGATAATAAAACTAAAGATTTGATGAAGTGCTTTACGCTTCTACCTATACCTCTACCTGCGGTTGAATGCGAGGCTGATTGACTTTCAGTGGTCGATGGGGTAGCACTGGTACTGGCATTACCAGTCCATGGTTTTTTACGGGATAGATAACCCTTCTTGAATAAAACATCTTGTCTGGGTGTAGTAATCCTCGTATATTCATCCTCGTTAAATATAATTTTAGGTTGCGACAGAGACCCTGTAGAGTCGTCTCTTCTCGATCTGGATGTTCCACTCGCATAACCACTGCTACCACTGGATCCAACAATGCTTCTTCTTGGTTTATACTCAGTTTGTCCGTTTCGATCGAAACTATGAGAGCTTGTGTCATTTTGTTGACCTTTTACGTATCCATTTCGTAAGTCTTCTTCTTCGTCCTCCTCTACTGGTGGAGCTGTGAGAACAAAAAAAATCAATCATAAATTTAAAGTATTGTTAAACCGTTGTAAAAATTACATTTGAATTTTTTTTTTTATCATTTATTTTTACTATCGCAAAAATCGAATATCTTCCAATAAGCGTTTGTAAGAGTTATCGAGTGAACAAATATATATATATAATATATATATACAAGGATAGCAAATAACACGAAGTATGTTAGCCTAGATTTCGTGCCAAATGAAACTCTCTTTCGTGAACGATAAGTGTGACAATTACTAAAGGTTCGTTATAATGCTATATCTTAGTAGTTTTCAAAACGTGTCATCATTTACAATACGATTATTGGTTAATTATGTTACGTTTATCATACAAAGGATTATATATTTCATATTACAAATCATCCCTCTCTCTTTTTTTTTTTTTTTTTTTTTTATATTAAAGCGTATAAATAAAAATGTACTAGCGTGTTAAATAATACAACAACAACAACAAAAAGGAGAGCGAAGAATAAATAAAAATAACTACAAAAGATATATTGTTTAAACAAACAGATGAATTTTTCGCGAGCATTAATAATTCATGACAATTTGAAAATCGTACCATCTTGGTACCTTGCTAAAAGCAATACGTGATTGGAGGAGCCGATCACGTGGGTAACCCTCCGTTGTCGGCGCCACTGCATGACTTTTTCCTTCCGCCCTTTTTTAAATTTTCCACCGTAGATGGATAGGATAGATAATCCGTTTTCAAGCACTCCACAAGACGATTTAAAGAGTTTCTAATAACGCATTTATTTCTCTTTTGATAAATGCGTTATTTGATGAGTATAATATAACATTAAAAAAGAAGAGAGAAGAGACGGGGGAAGGAAAGAGAAGAAAAGAGGAAAGAAGGAAAGAAAGGAAAGAAGAAACGAAAAGAAGACAAAAATGTTATTCAAAGAGATTGCTCCAAATTTTTACTACAAATTTCGAAATTAATAATAATAATCATAATAATAATAATTATTATTATTTCCCCCTCATTCTACCATTTTTACTACAAATTTCGAAATTAATTATTATTATTATTTCCCCCTCATTCTACCAATAATTAAATAATTTTATCAAGTTCTTTTTTAAATCACTATCACCCTCTGCTACCCTATCATACTTTCATCCCTTCCACCCTACCTCTCCCTCTTTCTTTCTTTCTTTCTCTCTCTCTCTCTCTCTCTCTCTCTTTCTCTTTCCTCTCTCACTGTCGTTTGTCTCGATCGTTACGGATGAGTGATAAGGGACGAAAATAATACACGTAACGAGGATGCAGCAGCGTAATAATGCTTCGCACGCGATGCCCTGAGATCGACTAAGGTTGTGCGCGGAAAGGGGTGAGTGTAGGTAATCGGAAGGTGGTGGGGGATAAGTAGAAAGAAGAGGAGAGGGAAAAGAAGAAGAAGAATAGAAGAAAAAGAGAGATACAGACTGATAGATAGATAGATAGATAGATAGATAGATAGATAAATAGATAGAGAGAGAGAGAGAGAGAAAGATAGAKAGAKAGAGAGAGAGAGAGAGAGAGAGAGAGAGAGAGATGATATGAGACGAGACGAGGGCGTTCGTAGAGTGTCGTGCGCTCCGGCGGACGTAGCCGATTGGCTACCGTGCTAGCATATAGGACTAGAATAGCATTGGAATTAGAATAGAAGACGAGAACGATGGAGCGAGGAATAGATAGATCCATCGGTGAAATTCTCGGGTTCAACGAAGGACGACCGACTATTAATCCTCAAACAATATTTCTTTCATATTTTTGAATTTTATTTAGATTACACTTAAAATTTTCTTATTTTTTTTTAATTATATATATATATATATTTAATTTATTATATGTTATAATATATATAATATATTATTTNTTTATATATATCGACAAACTATAATATATTTATATTTTTCTAAATATATAGAGAGATAATATATATACTGTTATTGCTGTATAAAAAACCATTGGTAATTTTTGTTGTTCAAAAACTAATAGGATTAGTACGCGAATGATAATCGATGCTAATTAGTCTTCTTCCTCGATGCAAATCAGTCGAATATCTTCTCGGTTCTCGAACTAACAATAGGACTAATTTTTAATTTTATTTTCTCCTTATATACCTTTTCTAAATTCTTAATCTGTTTTCATTATTTTTTTATTATTTTTTTTTTTTTTTAGCATAAATATATCACTTCCTACTTTATGGAAAAGGTCGACGATACGATTTATTTTTCCCACATTCCCTTTGACTTCTTTTTTTTTCTCTGCCTAGATTCTCAGTATAGTTCGATTAAAGTATGTTCTATAGATATTCATAAATACATTTACACATATACATACATACATCCATCCATACATTCATACATACATGCATGCGTGCATACTTTCCTATCTACCGTATTCACATTGAAAAGAGTACGCGCTTCATTGATCGATCCGTTTGCAGGTAATACTATATATACATCGAGTAGTATACGAATCGAGTATAGTTTTTATTTATTTAAAAATTTACAGTAACAACATAATTCAAAATAAATTAATAAAACGAAAAGAAAAATGATAGAAAAAAACCAAACAGCAAACTTTCCCGACCGAACGATTTGATCTCTCGTTGATTAAAGAGAAAGAAAAAGAATTAAGAAGAAAAATATTATTGATATAATATATGTGCAAAGCGTTATTTCATGGAAATTATATTAAAAAAGCTATCAATTTTCTCTAGTGTTCACATTACACTAGTACTCTACAAAAGAACGATGAAAAAGAATGTTTGTAGTCTTTAGAACCTTTAAATATTAATATATCTTTCCAACTTCTTCCGTAGTCGTTTGCGTGAAACAAGTTTGTAAAACTGTGATAACCGAGGGCAGAACCGATAACCGGAGATTAATATAACAATTTCTTAAGTTTACTTTTTTGTAGTATAGTAATAGTCTTCGAATTTGGTATTCCTCTAAGAAAAAAAAATAAAAAAGAAAAGGAAATATGGCAAACAAAAAAACATAAAATAAACATCACAATAGATAATAACGGTGTAAAACAATATCGTGACATTTTCTTTATGATGATTAAACAAATCTTGATAAAATTTCGATTACAAACGACACGCTATTAGGCCTATAAATATATAATACTAATCTATTTAGAGTCGAAGGTAAAATCGACCACAAATACTTGAATGCATACACACAAAAATACTCACAAATACGCACGCATCCCATGTACATTCATACATGTGCATACATACGAACGCGAACACATATATAAGACACATATATATTTACACTTCAAAAATTGAAACGATAATGTTAAAGTATAGTAGTAGTGAGTTTATAAACTTGCCCTCCGTTATCGTTGGTTAGCTTATGCAACACTTCGTCTTCACGAAGCCTATCTTTATCTACTCACGTTCCGTTTCTAGATTTCGTGTATAAAAGCGAACACATTTTTACCACAAAGTCGAACAAACATCTTTTTCTCTCTCCCTCTCTCTCTCTCTCTCTCTCTTTTTCTTTTTCGAAATTCTATGGTCCATATTATCTCTCTGTCGTATATAAATTAATGCGTATATCGGTTTTATTAGTTTATATCTATATATATATATTAATTAATTTAATGATATTTGAATGGAATCCCCTCTTTTTATGGGTGACCCTACTTTCCATCTCTCACCACCCTCCCATCTTCCCCTCTCCTCTTTCTCTTCGATTTACCACCCCCACCTTTTTTTACGTAACACCATGCAATGTTCACTCTATCAAACTTACTTGCCTTATCTTTCACTAACTTTCATTATTGTTTCTTATTTTTGTGTACTCTCACTTTCACAAGTTTTCATTCTCAAACCCCAATTCTTCCCCAATCTCTTATTATACAAAATCATTGATGAAAGTTTAACACATTGACTGTCGTTTAAGGTCACCGGGTGACTTCAATACAATCAATAATAAAAATACCATAATTAGAATAAATATCGATACTGATCAATTTTTAAATAATACCATTGTTTTTAAAAATAAATAATGATATATAGAAGATGTAAAAAAAATATGCATGACAAAATGCAATCTTCATCATCAAAACATTTTATTAAATACATCGTTAACTTCATCCTAAAATCGGGAATTATAATATTTTTCGAGTTACTTCTTTGTATAGCACAATTTAATTTACAATACAATTAATCAGTACTACCATTTTTGGTCAGTTTGAAAAAATTACAGCACCTCGGGGGTCACCGGTGACCTCACCATAAATAATGCATTAAACACAATTATAAAATTCCCTTTATCAGCTGTAAAAAAAAAATTTCAATAAAATATGCATCCGATAATAAAAAATATTCATGTAGTCGTGGCAGTCAACGTGTTAAACGATTGTTTCATTATTGTTTCAGATTAATAATTGTTATACTTATAATGATATACATTTGATATTCTCCAATATACGGAGATTAAAAATTTCGATTGAAATGTAACGTATAGTAAGTTTATAAATGTTTGTTATACACAGAAACACACGCGCATATAAATATGGTTATCGAAAATATAGTGTTGTTTGATAAGAAAGAAAGGTACCCAACGTTCAAACATCGTACACGATCGATGTTAGATTACGTAATCGTTTTAAATTCAATCTCCAAGTTATATTTCAATAAATCGAAATAATTTATGACATTGCTTGATTGATTTTTTTATTTGAAAGCGAGAAGACAACACCAAAATATTTATGGAAAAAAAAAAACAAAAAAGAAAAAAAAGGAACGAATGAACGCGATCGAAAACAATTATTAAATTAATGATAAGGAAGAAAATTTGAGAAAATAAAAAAAAAAAAAAAGTGGAAAACAACAACACTGAAGAAATCAAAAATTAATCCACTGTCTCTTTTTTCAACTGCACTACTTTTATCTTTATCTCTTTTCAATCTTTTCAATTAGTTAATCGACGTTGTTTTTGAACACCTCTCCTCCCCCTCTCTTCCTTTCCT